TTCAATATCAAAAAAGTTTAATTAAATATTTCATGCAAATCACCTTCGTTCGAAACGATTTCGAGAATTCCGGAAAAAGCTGAGCATCTGATGGAAAATTATTATCACTAGTGCGTTCTCCATTAGTATTCGTGGCTAGGACTCTGCTTAGTCTGGAAAAAATCTGGCCGACGGTTTGAAATTCGCAAAATTTGACAGTCACGGGTCGTTAAAATCTTTACATGCTTTCTACACCAAAAATAACTGCCCATGTCTCAAAACGATACCACAATATGTGGTATATTTTTCAAATTTCAATTTCAAAATTTCATAAGTGTTTTAAGAAAATGCCGTTATTTCCCACATCGGACGTAAAATATGCCCTCTGAGGAGTTTATATAAAATAAAACGTAGTTTGAAGAGATAGTTTAAAATGTTGAATATTATATGTAATTTGAAATGTTGAATTATATTTAGATGTTCTGCATCGTTTCCAAAAATATTTAAAATTTTCGTATCAAATAGTTCCTTAATTAGAAACACGATTTTGGTGTACATAGATTTTTTGTTTCATTGCCTTTTTCGTTCTGTGGGTATGCTGACTTAGAACATTAATGCTGATGCATCGGTTAGAAAAATTTTTATTTTCGGTTATTAAATTAGTCCTTAACTAGAACCGAAATTCTGAATACTGTTCTTCAATTTTGTGATAAGTGGGTATGCTAACTTTACGGCATGCGAACAAACTGTCGATTAGAGTTGGCTTCCCTTTTTACTTTCCAGTATACATACGTATATATGGAGTAAATATACGTATATAGGAGTAGATATGTAATACCGGGCGCGATAAAAACCGTGGACTTTCGGCAGATAAAAAAAATTCATTGCCGCGGCTATAATAACGAAGAAAATGGTATATCCAGTTGGCTAAATTAAGAAAATTAATCTCTAATATGGGTGTCAGGGGCAGAATCAAAAACGGGTTCTTGATATCGAAAAACCAAATTGGACGCACAACGACCGTCTGTCCCTCCCACAGTCTGTCCTTCTGTGTAACATCACTATCGCGTAAAGTTAACGTTAGGGTTTTTTTCCAAATTGAAGAAAGCCTCTCCACCTGCTCGATTTCGAAACTTTAAGATTTTGAAAAAAAATTGCCCTTAAAAACTTGGGGGTACATTACATAAAGCTCCTTTTCATAATTATCTCAAAACAGATTCCATTTACATAAAGGCTTTTAAATTTCTTAGTAAGCATAGAGTAAAATACTCTTATAAAGTGGCATAGGTAAAATTTTCACGGTTAACTCTGAATTTTCGAAAATTGCAAAACTTTGAATTCTTTCGGGCCGTCTTTCTACGACTACAAAAATTGAAGGTTAAGGTTTCATTCAAATAACATTTGTTTTTCCATAACGAGTTCTTTCTTTAAGGTCTTGTAATTTTTTAAAAACACTTTTTTAGTAGTTTTCGCGCCACTATGCAGACCAATATAAATATTTTTCCTTCAGCTCACAAAATCGGCCTGAAACTATCATTTGTAGCGTCCGCCATCAGTACAAAACACATACGTACGCTTCGGCTTGTAAATCTATTTCTGTGCCTGAACAAATGAAATTCTTTTTGAAGCAATAAAAAACAGACATTTTTAAGCGACTTAGTATTTCACAATGGTCATTATTTTTCCTTCTTCATAGGAAGTTAGCTCGACATATCTCTTGGCATCGACTGGCATTGGCAAAGAAGCCGCCTATTAAATCACGCTTTTGGCTTTGTAATTCATTTCTGTGCCTTTGTCAAAAAAAATATGATCTTGGGAAACGAGAACACACTTATGAAACATAAGTTATTCCCACAACATCATATTCTTTTCTTTGGATAATTTTTATTAATTAGAGTAGTTGCTGAAGAAACAAATAAAGTGCATCCTTATCTTTTTGCTAACGATAATCATATGACATTGCAGATCTTGAGGTTAAATAAGCGTGTTCTAGCATATCTATTTGAGAATTTCACTCAATAATAAAATGAAAAATTACCAATTTTTGGGTTTACTTTATAATAAAAAAATTGTATAAAATTATTATACCTAAAAACACAACCATAGTCCCAAAGTGCAGTCTAAAATTTCAAAATTGAATTTTGACTGAAAACGAGTTTTTAAAAAAATCAGAAATTAATGCATAAAAGTGATTCAATTGCCCCGTTTTTTAATTGTTTATAGTTGAGCAGCGAAAATTATTTATTTCTGTTGCCAGTATTAGACATATATGTTAGAAAAAAATATAGGACTAGTTAAATTGGAATTTCTGCGATAGGGGGATGCAGTGGCGGACACTTTTGTTTAGAGCCGCTCGCAATTTTTTCGTGTTTTAGACTCCAATATCTCAGTTGCGGGTACTAGATAAAATTCTGAAAATTATTATATGTAAAGTTCACTATATTGGTAAACTGCGTTGTGAATTTTCAAGCTCTTGAATTTGACTTAAAATGTGTTTTTAAAAACGCGTTGAAAATTTCACGAGAAAAGTGCCTTTATTGGCACCGGTTTTTCAGGTTGTTTATAGGTTGAAGTAACAGAATTTATTTATTTGTTGTAGTAAGGAGTACAACATGTTAGAAGAATATCCGACTAGTTAAATTGGAAATTCTGCGAAAGGAAGGCATGCAGTGGCGGACACATTTGTTTTAGAGGCCACTCGCAGTTTTTCGTGTTTTAGACTTGTAATATCTCGAGTTGCGGGACTATATAAAATGTTGAAATTATTACATGTAGAAAGTTTCACTAAGATATTTAATCTGCATTATTATTTTCCAACTTAAACTTTCACTTCAAAAATATGTTTTAAAAATCTAGAAAAATATAGGCAGTGAAAAGGTGTTTAAATTGGCACCCCGGTTTTTTAATTGTTTATAGTTTGAGTAAAAATTTTTTAATTGTGGTAGAAAATTAGTACATAATATAATAATGTTAGGCTAGTAAGATTTTCAATTTATGAGAAGTGGGGTGCCCTAACTTAACGTCAAGCTGGGCACCCCCACATTTGATGAAGCGTTTTTTATTGTTTTAATAGTCGAGTACAAAATTTTTAATTGTGGTAGAGAAATTAGTCACATTAAATTAGTTACAAAAACTTATAGGCTAGTTAATTTTGAATTTCGAACAAGTGGGGGTTGGCAGGCTTGACGGAGGTTTTTTCGGATTACATATGGCCAATTCCTCCATACCGTCCGTCCACCTAAGATGCAGCCGTTTTTAAAAACAAATTTACTTTGCAACGCGGTAAAAAACATTTATCATTGGAAGGTGGGACAGGGCGAGAAGTTCGTAAAGAACATTTTAGAACTTACGTTGCTGAGACAAATTTAGGGTATCGCGCCAAATCTCTCAGGCCCACATTCACACACGCTCGTTCGCTGACTACAGGGCTGCACGATCGAAATGTCTTTTTGAAAAGAAACCAATTTTCAGGGATCTTCGTTGAGAAATCATAATGAAAAAAAATTAAATTTCATACAAATCCAATTTTAGTAAATTAAAAATATTGGATTCTATTTTCCCTAATAACAGAATAAACAAACAAAAATACAAACGCATGTGGCCTCTGCCCTAAACTCAGATCCGATTAACCATAACGCAAAGGCATTATAATATTCCCACAACTACCTTTAATATTCTCTCTCACAAAATCATGCCTCGAAGAACATGTCATTGATCATTTCGGTCAACATCCTATAATCTGAATTACGGGATCGCGTGCCTTTAGTAAACTAGGCTTTCCAGTTCTAAACCATAATACAGAATTTGAGGGACAATATATACTAGTACACAACATATGAATAAAGCTACTCTCTTCAGGTCCGTGTACACTTGAAGGACTCTATGGTATTAATGCGGAGTCATTAAAACTATAAACACAGCTGTGTTGCTAACTCCAAGCGGGCTCTAATCTGTCAGCTGGGTAATGGTATACCTCAAACCTTCTACTTTACTAGTCCACTATCCAGAAGAACTTTGTAAAACATATCCGATTACTGTGGGTAAGCTTTGCAATTGGTAATGCTACTAGTCAAATAGATCGGAGTAACCCTTTACATTTTACTTAGAATAACGTTACATTTTTAATTTTGGAAAACAGGGGTGTCGGTGGTGGGTATTTGTTTGTGTGTAGTAGTTAACAACTACGGGGAAAGTGTACCACGCTTTTAATGAAAATGTTCATTTATAAGGTAGCATTTATTCATATGTTGTGGAACTGTAATTATGTGTCCATCAAAGTACTGTATTATGTTTAAACTGGAAAAGGGTAGTTTCTTAAAGCACGCGATCCCGTAATCCCGTAGACCCGTTGGGGTTTCTCCATTCAAATCTGCTCGCTCGTATACGACTTACATTTTTCTTACTGATAAGCTCTCGATCGGATGACCACGCGTCCCCGTCTCTTGCAACAGCTCTAGTTAATTTTGAATTTCGAACAAGTGGGGGTTGCAGCTTGACGGAGGTTCCGAAAAAGATTTAGATAAAGTAATGCCTTTGTAACGAACTTGTGAAAAAAGCCTGATGCTATCTATATAAAATTACTTTTTCTAAAACGTGGTGTAGTCAGAATCCATGTTTTGTTGGTCCATGATACCGAAAAATCGATTGACGGCAGAAACATGTCTCTCTGTGGTCAACGCTAGCGCCTAAACCGTTCGGCCGATTTTCTCCAAAGTTGATATTCCGCAATCGATCTAAATGAATACGAGATTTTTGGAGTTTCAAACGGCTGAACACACTTATAAATGTTCATGTAGTGGAAGTTAACATAGTGAAGCACTTAAAAAAATGTGAGAAATATTGTGCTGTTATATGACCACTAGTTTGTTTTAGGCTACGCACGCCTATGCCGATACTGTTACGGATTTATGTTCAAAGTTATTTCAATCGAGATTACGACCAAGGATAACCCGCTTGTCTCATGAGAGACAAAATAAGTCACTCAAGAAAATTATATATTAAATTTAAATTTACAATTACAGCTTATTCCCTCCTCCCTCCATTAAGATGGAGAACTACAGGACTTGAACTTCACTGGTAGGCCAGAATCCATGACGAGTAGGGGTATTTCATTCGTAGCCTAAGGAATGTTAGTCAGCTATACAAAGCTTCTAGACTCACGGACAGCCAGTCTGAACTTCAAGATGGCAGGCACAGCTGATTCTGCAGATATGTAATAACTAACAAGAGAACTTGAAATATAGCTTTATTAAAATATGAGGTAAGTAACATGATGGGGTAAGTACTACTTTTAGTTTTTAAGAATTGCAATGCATACATTTCATACTTAATTAAATAATAAAATATTACAATTATTTTAAGCATTTTTATTGTAGGGCATTCGTGAATCCACTGACAACTCTTTACTGAATTGCACTAATATTTATCTTTCACTACCACACCGCATCATTATGACTACATTCTGACTTATATACAAAATTTAGGTAATATTACGCACAGTCATTAATTTTAACTTCATGTACTAAGTACTAATATAAAATAGTTGGAAATAAAACGTACACTCATACACATCAGTTTGAAAGGTGTCAATTATCCCCGAACAGTACTACTTTGTACGAGACGACATTTTAAATCTCGTGGTATGACACCAAGGAAAATTAATGAACTTTCTCCAGGCCATTATCGCACAATGCGCAATAGTCAGCGCACACTCTTCGTACTGGAATATTTTTCATGTGACAATCGTGTTGAAAGCCTTATAGTTGAAGTCAAGGTTGTCAATGAGACTACAAGGATTCTGCACATTAGTAACGTTCAGATATGCTTTCTGGGTGAATGGTCAACCTACAAGAACTTGCTGCTTATAAGACCCAAGAATGTTTCAAAAGGGTAAATACATAAACTGTAAAATGTGTTGCGTTTCATTTTATGTACATATAGTATTAAATATATTTAAGACGCAGGGACAACTGAATATTAAGATATATTTCTGTTGATGTAACTAGTTGCTTATCAAGAGTGAATTTGATTTAACTCAACTGTTATTCTTTCAATATACGCTCTGTGATCTGCGAGTCCGCAAATTATGCTTTTTGTGGAAAAGATGGATTGTAACGTCACGTCACGTGGTGAAAGTATTGTAATTTTATTTTGCTCGTAGACTTTCAAGTGACGCCAACAATCCAATTCGCAAAATAAAATGTCTTTTTCCACTCATATTATAAACATAAACATTTTAACACTCCGTGCTCTCATGTTTGTTTTCCGTCTCAAAATACCTATTTGTTTTATTCTAACTAAAAGAGTTGAAAACATTGTGTGTGCGATAAATGTTCCACACTGTTAAAAAGCAGTTTATGCAATACATGTGCGAGATGACTCGCGCGCTTGTTAGGTATCTTATTATTTGTTAAAACTTCCATTAAAATTCATTCCTCCTAATTTGCCATTAAATAATGGCTTTACTGTTCGTGGATTCAGGGGCACGGATACCCGCTTTGGGTAATTTTAGAAATTTGTAACCGGCTGTGTTGTATCTCGTCGCATAACGTACTACCAGAGGTTGGATAGCGAGGTCACTTGCGATCATATTGATATATGACTTTCATTCTTTTCATGAATTCACAAAAAATGTGATTTTTCGACTTAGTAATTCGCTTTTTTGTTTTAGTCATTTGTTTTTGAAAATAGTAGATTTCCTCTCCGGTAATAATTGGACATACAAAACCAGTATTCTTACCAATTACACTCAGAATAAGGGTATGATCTGTTGGACGTAACGGAACAACCAAATTCTTCGACAAACCGTTGGATAAGAGCGTTTCCCAGAAAATGACATAAAAATCGTTTGTTTTATCATCTAAAACGACTCATTGTTTATTAGCTCGTCAGCACCGTGTCGAGGTTGAATGCGTTAGCATCCGAAAGCGGGTGAAAGGAAACGAACTTTGCGCTCCACCGCGGTAGCAAGTAGCCAGCCAACTCAGTGACTCTGCTAAGGACCGACCCTTCGCCACCGCACGGCGACCTGCCTCACAATGGGGTATACCTACCTTATCGTCCAGATACGAATGCCCCCGAATAGAGTTGAAACAAACGTCAGTCTGATCACGACGTTTCGCGTTGAATTGCTATTTGCTCTCGTAACCTAGAGTCCAATAAAGTTAGGCTATAAAAAGTCTTATGTGCAGAAAAAATTCTCGTGAGCTGAATTTCCGCAGAGATCTTTGCCTGAATATATAATAAAAGGGGTGAAACGTTTGGTTTGATATCTCGACAGTGTTTCACAAATTAGAGGCCAAAGATCACAAATATCGTTTTTCGCAAATATCGCGGTTCCTATACGTTAAATGTGAAATAATCTTATTATAAAATTTCAAAAAAAAAAAAAACATTTATGTAATCTTTAAACTTTCATATTTTCATGCAGCGCCTCTAACCGAGAGGTCCTAGGGTACGAGTTGCGACAGCGCGATGACAGAATTTTTATCGCTAGCAACATAGCTAGGTCGGATTCAACCGCTGTCTGCAGGAGAATTCTAGCGGCCGTCTACTTTAATTGGTATTTTTCCTTAGTTTCTCCGATTAACACCACGCGATTGCCGGGGCAGTACCCGAACAAACGGGCCACGAACCGCGCGCGGTTCATCATCCCTTACTTACACGCACTACACTGCCACATAAGCCGGCAGAACAGCAGAAAGCTTAGAGCTTGTCCCGGCCAGGGCGGTGCCACACTTGTGGCAGAAACCTGGTTGGGGAAACCTCGCAAGGCGGCAGATTAGTGTGCGCCGGATCTGGCCATCCATCGGACGAATATTACGGCTTCCTTCCGCGATAAAAAACATGCACTACACTTCTTTAATAACCTTAGTAGTTGACGTGCCCAGAATCTATAAACTAATATTTTAGAAAGCATCTTTAGTGATATCGATCTGTACTTTTCATCCCTTTTATAAAACGCCAAGACAAAGGTCTCAGCGCAAATTTAGCACATGCTCATCCCGCAGATGCAATCTACGTTGATTTTGCAGCCGTGAGGAAGCTACAGCAGGTGGCGGCGCGGTGGACAGCAGGGCTGCCTCCCTTCCCGCTGTGGGTGACGGTGGCGTCGTCCCGGGCACTGGGCTTGTTCCCGGCCACGTACGGGTGAGTGCTGCACACCTTCAGCTAGAGCGCATGAGATATATTGCGCAGAAACCGTTCACTGCACCGGTGACGCGGTAATATCAAGGCTGATCGCAATACTATTTTTGCATGTTTTATTCCCAGCTGTTTTTCCAATACTCGTGTTTCTTGCATAACAACGTTCCTGATCCTTTTTGACATTGGACGTGGAGTAATTCTCCCTGAGTGTAAAAGGAACATGAAAAAGAAAAAAAAATTAAGATAGGTTGAAATTATAATACAAATTAACGAACGCGTTAGGCTTTATAGGCACCCTTCAGCTCCATGAGCCCTCTCGAGTAGCATAGGCCCTGGCCATAGGTACCCGCTGCATACCTCTCTCCATGAGCCTCGTAACCTGAGGTCCGAGGGTTCGAGTCTTGACCATAGAGGATTTTCGTCACTAGTTTGATAGCTAGGTCGATCGCTGTCTGGAATCGCTGTCTTCAATCGCTCTCTGAAAGATAATTCTAGAGAGCGGTGATTTTCCATGATTTCTACAACCAATTACCAAGACATTATCGCAGCAGTACCCCTAGTAGCACGCGATCTTTCCTACAACTTCCTTGTCCAACCTCTTCCCGTACTTACACATACATGCTCCACACTACCATCGTTGTCGAGAGTCTAGAGAGCATAGAGCTTGTCCCGACTGGTATGGTGCCTCGGTGAGATACCTGCAGAGGAAAATCGCCCGCAAGTCGACATGTCGGTGGGTGCCGGATCCCATGACACAGCTACTTCCCAAGAGATTACATTCATTTCTCAAACGGAAAGGTGGGAGAGGTGGCTCTAAAGTCACTGCAGGGCCTTTGACCGGGATGTCCTAGGTCCAAGACCTTGTGACACTAGCTCATCAGCTAAGTCGAATAAAGTCGCTGGCTGGAGAATTTTACCCGCCGGCTACTCTGATCAGATGCCGGAGTAGTACCCTAACAAACGTGCGACGGGCCGCGCGCGACATTTCCTTCCCCTTCTGCTATCCTCAACTCTTACTCACACGCACTTACACTAACATGCACTGCAGTTCCACACATGGTGGGAGCATAAAGCTTGACCGGTGCTCCGCTGATGAGAGATACCTAGTAAGGGAAAACCCCGCTAGCCGACGGTAGGTAGGCGCCGGATCTCGCCAATCAGCAAGGGCACCTCCCAAGGAAAAAAATCATGCATTACACTTAGGAGACTAATGACCTTAGCTGTTGCAGCGCCCGGAATCACTACCCACGTGCACGGGGGGGGCGGCGTGGCGTGGCGTTGCGCAGGGGCGGGCGCTTCCGCGTGGCGCGGCGCGGCGGGCGCGGCGCGCTGGTGACGGTGGCCAACCTGGCGGTGGCGGTGGGGCTGGCGCTGTTCATGGCCAGCTACGACGCGTCGTACGTGGGGCGGCTGAACGTGCGGTCGGGCCGCGTGGCGGCGGGCTTCGCCGTCGTGGCCATCCACGCGCTGCTCGCCGGCTGCGTGGTGGCGTGCCTGGTGCTGAGCCTGCGCCGCGCGCGCGCCGTCGCCGACACCTTCACGCTGGCCGAGCGCCTGCTCAGGGCCTCTGGCCGCCTGCTCACCTACAGGTCAGCTGTAGCATATCTCTCCTCTGTCCAGTCTTAGTTTTGGCTGTGCATACGTCCCGAAACCCGCAATGTGTCCAGGCAAGCTGGCAACGGAAACACCTCCAAGATCGCTTTGCCAACTCATGGAGGGAGTCCCACACACGCAGCATACCGGAAGCCCACCGCACGCGGATAAATGCCCTAAAACAGGGAAGTAAGCTGACCCTGTACATGAGAGAACTAAATAATCTTAATGAGTTAAAGAGAGAAAAGAAAAACATCTCCGAAGCATTAGAAAACCTGATAGCGTTAGGGTAAAAAAGAGTAAGGGTTGACCAGAAGAGACCTAAAGAAAAGATAAAACAAT